TGGACATATGCTCATCTATTTTCCCCATCATGGGGATACAAGCCTTAGTTAGCAATGGCATGATCTAAATATTCATTTCATTATTCAATGTCTTTTTTTTATATATTATAAAGTTTATAATGTAAATAAAAGACATTGAATAATTAAATTAAATGAAATGAATATTTAGATCATGCCATTGCTAACTAAGGCTTGTATCCCCATAGTGGGGAAAATAGACGAGCAGCACATGTCCAGACTCCAGAACACTGTAGTGTGGCACAGTTATATCTAATTCTGCATACCTGGCTGTATATTATACATTAAAAAATGTAATATACAGCCAGGTATGCAGAAATAAATATAACTGTTCCACACTATATGTATGCATTATGCACTACAGTGTTCGGGCCTTGACATGTGCTCAGCCTCATCCATTTTCCACCATATGGGGATACAAGGCTTAGTTAGATAGAATAGCAAGCAGTAGTGATTTTTTTTTTTTTTTTAAACCTAATTGGTTTATAAAAAAAAAAATCACTACTGCTTGCTATTCTATTTGGATGAGGCAAATCATGGATGAGGCAGAGCACATGTTCAGACCAGAACACTGTAGTGCATAATGCATTGCATATAGTGTGGAACAGTTATATTTATTTCTGCATACCTGGCTGTATATTACATTTTTTAATGTATAATATACAGCCGGGTATGCAGAAATAAATATAACTGTTCCACACTATATGCATTATGTACTACAGTGTTCGGGCCTTGACAATGTGAGTTCCATTTAGAATATCTATAAAATCTAATTTCTTTAAATAGAAAATACCACCTACAGATTATGTGGTTTAGTTGAAAAAAATTATTAATGAGGAGAAACAAATTATTATTTTTTTAGAGATAATGGATTTAAATTAAGCAGAAAACTAGAGGAAAGAAAAATGGCTGTATTGCCCACGTCAACCGATGAGTATTTTTTCCTTTTTTTAAAGCACTCTATAAAATGATCAGGTAACATCTAATTTGTTGATATTGGGTATACAGTCACTTTTTTGACATTTCATAAAGAATTCATATTTACAGAGTCATCAAGGTTCCAAATATGTGTGTATTGTGTTCTTATTAGGCAGTTATTGGCCCAAACACTAGTCCCCATAATGCTCAACCTTTAATAAATTAAAGTGAAAGACAAGGAAATCATTATCTATCTATCTATCTATCTATCTATCTATCTATCTATCTATCTATCTCTCAATGTGTCACTTTCCTTCTGTCCCTCTCTTCTATATGAATGCTGTCTTCCTCCCCATAGTCATCTACATGACCTAGTAATTCTGCATGGCTTTGTGCAGTTTAGTGTAATGGTGTTTGCCATGGCAACTACTAAATGCTTTTATTCTGGCTGCTGTATAATGGTAGATGTTCTTTGATCAGAAAAATTATAATTTGCATCATCTAGGTAGAATTATTATAATCTTTACTAATAATGAGTTACATTCGCAAAGAGAAAAAAAATTATTGGAAAAGAAATCATTGTGAAATGATGGCCGTTATTAAGTAGGAATTCATCATGCTCAGTTCAGTCCAAGGTCACCTTATCAAGATGTTGTCTCTACTACCTAACATATCTTCCGCTCTCCTATAGTCTCAGTAATACAAAGACAAGTCTAATGGCAAGGGGCTGGCAGTTAAAGGAAATAAAATATATATTTTTTCCAATTTGCAGGCAGTTTCATTGCTGCAGCAGAAGTGTTGGCTTGCGGAGATAAACTATATGGGCAGGCGGATAAATTAGGTCTCTCGGATGAAAAATTGATACTGAAGTTGAAAATGAATTAATGCAAGATACGACTCAGCAACTAAAATATAATCTATAGCAATAATGTTTAGCTGCAAGGTGTTTGGAAACTAATGTATTGAGGATAATTCACTGCACAGGAGAACGGCAATTGGAATGATGTGTCAGGAAGTACAAGGAAATATGGAACCGGTGAAAGAAGCTGCAGAACCCAGTGCTGAACTAAGGCTTCTCTGATAAATGTGCTATGATAGTGTACTAGAGACATTACATTATTTGTGAATATCAGCATCACAGGCTCTTGAGTTATGATCCTCCTTCTCAAGCATCAGCCACAGGTTAAGAAAGAACTTGATACACTGAAGAAATGAACAAGAACAAGATAGGCACACTTTTTAAATTTTAATTAAAAATAACGCTTGGTCCATTGCAGAACATAGTGATGTAGCAACAGGTTTAGCAGCGATTTAAAGTGTATGCGATCTCTAACAATGAACTTTCCTTATTTCCATCCCTCCCTGGTCTGTTAAATATACTATAAAAATCGTTTTGTTGTATATGTTTGATAAGCTGATCCTGCCAGAAATCCAGTGAGCTCCGGTACTCTCTGCTGTCCTGTTACTGGTAAACAATGTTATATGCCCAACCCTGTTCTTTCTGTGGACTTTGAAACATTTTCTCTCTATGTTTTGGAGAAGAGGAGAGGGAGAGGTGTAGCCCTAACACATTTTCTGTTCTAGGGTGACCATGCTGATTCTGCATAGATAACGTACAGTGGGTGAGCATTGTCACCCTAGGACAAGAAGTGTGTTACTGGCAGGATCACCTGGTAAAAATAAAGTAAAAAAGCCCCAAAAAAGGAAAGCTGATGCAGGTACTACATCTAAGGACTGGTAGGTTGCAATATATAACATTTGTGTTCTTGGTTTTAGATACACTTTAGGTACAACTAGAGCTCTAGGGAACCATGTTCCTGAAAATTCAGTTTTGCAGGCCACTTCCAGATCAATGGTGAAGCAATAGGAGCAGCCGAGGTGACGGAATTTGATCCATGACCTAGTAAGGGCCCAGCCCTTTAGTAATGTTTGCTTCTATTACCAATTGCACCAGTGGAATCATCATTGTGATGTGTGTATTGGCTAGAAAATGTCTTCTTGTTCGAAATGATATGCTTAAGGTATGTATCTATACAGAAAGGACTGTTTATCTGAGTGGCCTGAGAGTGGGATGGCCCCACTCTTGCCCTCCTACCTCTACTGCCAAATCAGTAGGCTGGTAGTGAAGCTTCTTTTTTTTAGCTCAATAGATGCCAATTAGGAAGATGCTCAGTCCTACTCTATGAGGAGCATGAGGACTCCAGGAGCCTGACGTTTTGGGTCAGTAGGTGGACACAGTTCCTATGCTTTCTTTTTCTTTAAAATCAGACTGTCAAGTACTTATATACATCCATTAGTGACAGAGATATTGTTGTTATGCTATATTTTAACAATCTGCATGCCTCTCCCCAAAATTAGAAAGTGAAAAATAAAGTACCTACTATAACTTTAGTATAAGGCATTTTTGGCTGATTTTTGGTAGGACATATGCTACTTTAAAATCTAGTAAAAAAATGTTAGTAAATAAACACCTTGGATGCAACCCCAATCCTGCAGACCACCTGCATCCTGTGATCAAATGGACTAGCATCAGCAAGAGCAGGTGACACTTACTTCCTGAGACACAGTTTCCAGGGGGGACCAGTTAAATTTAAAAATAACACAATACCATACCTGCCATATTACAGCAGAGGAAGGCAACAAGGATCAGTCCTGGAAGCCACTGTCTTTGTGAATCCAAGAAAATGGATTATCTGTAGAAATGCATAAGAGGAGACCCAGACCAGTATCTTCTAGCTTGATCTGACAGGCTGCCTTGAAAAGGAGGTGGCAGGACCAAAGGTTAGAGAGCACAAACCACTTTATTAGATTTATGTAGTTTTTGTCTTACATTTTTTTAATGTCTCTTTAATATATTTATGTTTATTGTTTACATGTTTCAGCATAAGCAACAAGTAAATAGATTTATTGTAATCATAATAATAAAGTGTATTAAAATACAATAATAAATAGGTATATCCCTAGTCTATGGGACATTAGAGGATACATTCTTCTTTACTAAATCTCTTCCATTTCAAAAGTGGGACGCAGACCTACATTCTCATTACTCTCTGGCCCAGTGGACTATTGCTCTTAAAAGACCCTCCTGGCAACCAAGTGCGTAACTCTCTGGGAATTGACCCTGAAGAATACGCTAAGGTGGTACCTAACTCCCTATACACTAGCTACATACTACAAGGAGCATTCTGCTCTGTACTGGAGAGAGTGTGGCACAGTGGGCAATCTCCTACACACTTTTTGGCACTGTCCTCTCCTCCAAGAGTTTTGGGAGGCGGTCTTTAGACTCATTAGCGACATTAGCTCCAACAGAGTGAAACCTGTCCCACCCAAAAGGTGGGTTCAAAGGTTATCCAAACAGGAGTGTATGAATGCATAGGTGTGTTTTAACCTAAGTTGCCAAATAGGTTTTTTTATATTTTGGTGCAGGGATGTGGTACAGTACTGTTTATTGTTAAAATAACTTATGTTTAAATAAATGAATTTATAGTTTATCTACATACGGTCTGGCAGTAACTTGATTGGTCCACACATTTAAACGTGTTTTGCGACCTGCTCTACCTTCTGTTACATGTTTCATACAGTTACAGACCCATTACCCGCAGACTGTGGAATGTCCCGATAGGGGACGCCGCAGGTCCTAAAAAAGTAAATTACTGATTCTCCCTCCGGAGAACCCTTCCATTTACTTGCTGTCCCTGAACTAGCATTACTAAATTGGGGAATTGAGCATTTCTCACCCCGTTGTAGAACTGTAATCACTCACGTTCTCCTACCAGCTTGTCTCCTTATTGTTAGAAATTGGGAAACGTCTGACTCTCCTTCCATTACACATCTTGCCCATCTAGTGCAACTACACTACTGTTTTGCACTCTATCTTCCTTTTTGATCCAATGAGAAATGACGATTACACATTGTATTCCCATATGACTCTAATTATGAGCTACTGATTGTTTGTTTATACTTGAAAACGTAATAAAACTGGTTAAAAAAAATAATAATAATATAATAATGATGTATGATAAAACTATATACTTTTTAATGTCTTACAGGCATTCTGGAGCAAAATGTCGTGGTTTCTCATCCTACTTGTTTTGATTCATGATGGTGAAAGTAGTACTGATTTATGCCCCACCTCTTGCAGCTGTAGTGCAATTGAGACCCATGGACTAATAGTCAACTGCAATTCGAGGCATCTCAAAACTGTGCCAGATCTCCCAATTACCACAGTAAAGCTTTATTTGCAAAACAATCTAATGACCACTGTTCCCCCAGGAGCCTTGGATCACCTGGTCAGCCTCCAGGAAGTTGATATCTCTGGTAACCCTTGGAATTGTGACTGCAACATCCTTTACCTGAAAGCATGGCTTGATTCCCAACCTGTGCAGAGAAACCATGCAAATGTGCAGTGTGCAACTCCGCAATCTGCATCTATGAAGGCTTTTCAAAATCTGACAGGGAATGAAATGCCCAGGTGTGGAAAGCCATGGCCAATCAAATGCAAAAGATTTTTTGTAAGGGACTTGTACATGAATGCACTTGCTGTGGTGGTCCTGATCTTCATGTCCTATATAGCACGGATGGCCAGGAAACTATCTTGTCGTGTGGCGGTCTCACCTCGCTCACTCCAAAATACATCCACCAAAGAAACCTCCAAATCTAAATAGGACATGCATCACATCTAATCTAAACCAACTGCAGTACATTAAATCTCACTGATAAATCATATTGTCCCTAGCACAACTATAAAATTACAAAATAATATGTATATGTGCCCACTCAATAATAAAAAAAAACTTAAATGACTAGAGCTCTATTTAGGAATATTTGAAGTGAGTGCTGTGTGAGGAGCCAACAATCAGTTCTGGATTTATATATATCTTAAAGTGTATTAGAAAAATGTATTTGTTTAACATGTTTTTTTAAACATTAATGTACAAAAATGGAAACACTGAGGGCCTTATGTATCCAGAAACTGGAGTTTATTTCTCTGACATCAACATTCAGATTCAAAGGCCTTGTTCACACAGGTTTTATCTTGTAAGGTCAGAGTAGTGTGAACAGCGAGCTTTACAGAGTTGAAACAAGTTGCTAGCAGACTTAACTAAAGCAGCTTGAAGCTTGCCGAAAGCTTCCCAAATGCTTTGCAAAAGCTTGCTGAAAACTTGGGGGCTCATTAATAAACGTTCCACCCTGTGTATAGCCAGACAAATCCTGTTCATATGGCACTTGTACCCCTAGATAACACTGATGAGTATAGGAACTTTTAGAAATGAACCCCTTGGTTTTCACACTGCTCTTATACAAGCTATGAAGCTAGAGCCCGTGTAAATTAGGCCAAACTTTCCCGATCTGAAGTTGAATAGCAGCTAAGAAATAAGGAATGGTACTGTATATGACCCTTACAAATACATTAGGTAACATACTCATTATAATGGACAATGTTACTAATAAAAACCTCAATAAAAAAAACTATTTGGATTTGAAGTCTGTAGTACAATGGGCCACACACTGAGCACCGGTGGGCCACATGTTGGACATCAGAGCTTTATACTATTATTCCCCATTTAAGGGTAAATAGGCGTTAAAATATTTCTTGTGAGGGTATTTAGGTCTGATATTGAAACAGATGGAATTTAGTATTCTAATATAGCAAGTTTCCCAGATTTTCTTCTGGCTTAAAAAATTATTTAAAACTTCAAGGTGGTGCATTACTGTTTGTGATGGCATTTATGGTACACAACTGATAAATATTATGAATAGGGATGCACCGATACCGATACAAGCATCGTACTCGTGCAAATACTCCAATACATAAAAAGAGTACCTGTGCCGCGTCCGCCATCTTCAGGGACCCGAATCCGCCGCACACAGGACCTCCATCGCGTCTTCAATGAAGCAAGATGGCCGCGACCTCCTCTGTCATGTGCTCCATTCTGACCTCTTCTCCCGCTGATTGGCCGATTGGATGATTGACAGGCTTCCTCACCAGTCATGAGTGACTGGTGAGGAAGCCTGTCA